AAAAAAAAAAAAAAAAAAAAAAAAAAAAAAAAAAAAAAAAAACTTTTTTAAAAACTGCGTTAAATGCCCTTAAGTCCCATTTCAAGAGAGGGGGTGACTTTCTTAGATCACATTCCTTCTGACTTTCCGACAACACATCCCTTCCTCTTGGCCTGCTGTCCACAAGTTAGAATATTTTCTCTCTGGGGTGGATTGTTAGGACTTCTTTGGGACCTCTTCAAGGAATTTTTTGGGGTTAAACTGACTCTTAGGGAGGGTGGAGCTGGGTTAGGAAATGTTCTCTAGGGCACTGGCTCATCATGAGAGGTAGAAAACGATTGCCTCATATATACTCTCAGGGCAAAGCAGGAGTCAAGACCAGAAATGAAATAAGCCAAAGTCGTGCACCTGAAGCAGTCCTGAGGCCTCTGCTAGGGTGGAGATGGTGCTTTGGAGGGGTGGGTGGAGTATTCCACACGCTGCTTGTCCCAACGTGAATAGGTGAGCCTCATAAAGAAATCAGAGTTCGTTTACCATTTATTTTATCACACCTGGCATCAAAAGAAAGAAAACCAAAAAGCAGACTCCCAAATCTGGGCCATGCAGGATCCCTTAGGTTTACATTTTCAAAGCTGAGGTAGGTGGGAGTCAAGGCCATCTCCTTTTGGACCAAGGACCCCAAATGGAAGCACTTCAACAAAGCTGAGTAGAAACAGCTCTTGGCTTTCATTAGGCCACAGCTCCCCTGCATGCTGGGCTATACCACATCAGACCTGCCTGGGCCCCTCACCACATATTTCCTTCGTCTGCACTTTGCCTTCTATAAACCTACTGGGATAGAGAACACCCGATTGTCGACAGATAAGTAAAAACTGATGTGACATCACCATAGAGATGAGCATACATTTTCAGAGTGCAGATGCACTTATATTCATGTGATATATCCCACAACTTACGTTACGGATAGGTAGAGTTTCTGAATAGTTCAATTTAAAATATTTTTAGAATTTCAAATCTAACTTTTGGGGTTTTTTTTTTTTTTGGTATCCACAGGGATTATAGATTTTTCTGTTGTTCTTGGATTTTCTAATCAGTATCACAGAGTATCACAAGGACATCTTCAATTAGTGCATCTGATTCAGATTGGACAGAATATATCATCTTGTTGGTAAAAGAGACTTTCAGGGTGCAAAATTACTCTTCAAAAATCATACAAATCTGGCCATTAGCAAATGCCAATGAACGAAGATTAAACTCAAGTCTCTCTCCCTTTTGCTTTAACCCCCACCCCGACAAATACACACACACACACACACACACACACACACACACACACCCTACCTGGAGGCACATGAGCTAATGTATGAATGAGGGAGCCAGAGACTTTGATCTCCATGATGCCCACTCTTCATGTAGTTTTATTTTGCTCAGTTTGAAGTAACACAGGCCCTGAGCCAACAGGAGGTCAGAAGAGAGTAACCAGCCAAAGAGTTTCCAGTTTAATTCAGAACAAGCTGGATTAACCTGGAAAGAGTGAGGAAGGGTGGAGACATCTCCTTCTACATTTGCCCCATAGTCCTGATGATGCTTCTCTGAGCTCAAAAGAAGAGAAACTGCATTAATTAAATTTATATCTTAAAAGTTCTGCCTATGCATACCCACTGGTGAGGAAAATAAGGCAGGTTCTATACTACCAGGTAGCCAGTACTAGCAGATAATAACCAGGAGCACTAGAAATACAACTGAACAAGAGTCAGAAAATAATTATTTAGGGTTAAAATAATGCATCACATTTGAGGAGAAGGGACACAGAAATGAGAAAATGGATTAGAAAACATACAGGCATGGTTTGTGCTGTATGTGTGTGAGTGACCAGGATGGGAGACACAGAAGATACCACATAATTTGTGGTTGCTGACTCTTTTGTGCAATGGAAGGTTTTAATTTTTAAAAAATAATTTCAACTTCTATTTTAGACTCGGGGATACATGTACAGATTTGTACCTGGGTATATTGCATGATGCTGAGATTTAGGATATGATTGATCCTGTCACTCAGGGAGTGATCATAATACCAGACAGTGTTTCAACACTTGTCCCCTCCCTTCTTCTATTTCTCTTCTAGTAGTCCCCAGTGTCTATTGTTGTCATATTTATGTCCATGAGTATCTAATGATTAGCTCCAACTTCTACATGAGAACATGTGGTATTTGGTTTTCTAGCCCTGCGTTAATATGCTTAGGATAAGGGCCTCCAACTGCCTCCATATTGCAGCAAAGCACACAATCTCCTTTTTTACGGCTGTGTAGTATTCCGTAGCATATATGTACCACATTTTCTTTATCCAATCCACCACTAATGGGCAACTAGGTTGATTCTATGCAATGTCTTTGCCACTGTGAATAGTGCTGTGATGAACATATAAGTACATATATCTTTTTGGTAGAATGATTTATATTCTCTTAGATATATACCCAGCAATGGGATTGCTGGATTGAATTATAGTTCTGTTTGAGTTATTTGAGAAATCTCCAAATTGCTTACCATAGTGGCTGAACTAATTTATATTCCCACCAACAGTATATGAGCATTCCCCTTTTTTTTTTTTTTAAAAGACAGAGTTTCACTCTTGTTACCCAGGCTGGAGTACAATGGCACAATCTCGGCTCACCACAACCTCTGCCTCCTGGTTCAAGCAGTTCTCCTGCCTCAGCCTCCTGAGTAGTTGGGACTACAGGTGCACGCCACTATGCCCAGCTAATTTTTTTTTTTTTTTTGTATTTTTAGTAGAGACAGGGTTTCATCATGTTGACCAGGATGGTTTCGATCTCTTGACCTCATGATCCACCCGCCTCGGCCTCCCAAAGTGCTGGGATTATAAGCGTGAGCCACCGCACCCAGCTGAGCATTCCCTTTTCTAAGCAGCCTTGCTAGCATCTGTTATTTTTTTTTTGACATTTTTATAATAGCCATTCTGACTGGTATGAGATTGTATCTCATTGTGGTTTTGATTTGTATTTCTCTGATAATTAGTGATGTGGAGCATTTTGTCATGTGTTTGTTGGCTGCTTGTATGCTTTGTTTTAAAAAGTGTCTGTTCATGTCTTTTGCCCATTTTTTTAAACAGGTTTATTTGTTTTTTTGCCTGTTGAATTGTTTAAGTTCCTTATAGATTCTGGATATTAGATCTTTGTCAGATGCATAGTTTGTAAGTGTGTTCTCTCATTCTGTAGGTTGTCTTTTATAGTTTCTTTTGCTGTGCAGAGCTCTTTAGTTCAATTGGGTTCCACTTGTCAATTTTTGGTTTTGTTGCAAGTTCTTTTGATAACTTAGTCATAACCTCTTTCCCAAGGGTGATATCTAGAATGGCGTTTTCTAGGTTTTCTTCTAGGATTCTTATAGTTCATGGTCTTACATTTAAATCTTTAATCCATTTAAGTTAATTTTTGTATATGATGAAAGGTAGAGGTTCAGTTTCATTCTTCTGCATGTAACCAGCCAGCTTTCCCAGCATGTGATTGCTGATTTTAACTACAGCTTTAGCCATAGCTAATAATCCAATTAGGAAGACTACCTTTGGAGAAAATGAATTATAAAATGTCTATATACATATTGCCCCAGGAGGCATTCCTTGTCATTTGTAATTGGCCCTCCTGAGAAGCTGACCCTTGGAATGTGAAACTGAATTTTAATGATTTTGATTGTAGACTCTGTTGGCATTAAGAATGTGTCATCATAATGGTGCTAGTGGTAGAGCCATAGCTGACTGTAGTGTATGTAAAAGACAGAAATTTAAATGACTGTTTATATTTTTTTAAATGAGTTTATATTAAAAAAGAATACATTGATATAAAAATTGAGAATCTGAAAAGATAACTGACATAAAAAGACTCATTTATTTACTCATTCATTCAGCAAATATTGTAAGAAATTTGTTCTGATTATTTTCTTCCAGGCTAGGGACTGAGGATGTAGGAGATACAACTTAGACATCTGTCATCTGAATAAATGTGTCAAGGTTAATTAAATGGGGTGATGCAAATTCTGCATATTCTTGTACATAGATGATGGGGAGGGCTAGAGCCAATGTAGAAGAAGAGTCAATTTGGAGCCTTACCACCAACTTTCCTGACCTGCAATCCACTAACTGTATGTAATTTCCAAATAGGCCACTTAACCTTAGCTTTTGTGTAATCTTAACTGTAAGGGTTGGGGTATATTGTCCCAGAGGAAATCCTTTCTTAAGAAGCCTGCTGATTCTCATAAAACCAAGGACTATCAGTCGGTCTGAAAAAAAGAGATGAAGCTACAGCCACAAATCAAGAGGGCAAAGCTGGGCACGTTTTGGTTGTTTGCATCTGTGTCTTGTTACAAAATCTCCATGTCATCGTATGTTGTTATGTCTCTATGCAACGCTGAATGTTTGTCTGCTTTGCAAAGGTCAGAGGATGGTTGTCCCAATAACCCCTTTGATCCTCTATTACCATATCCAATCATCTTGCCTAGTCCATGAGGATCTGGGAGTGGATACGGTACACACTCTGCTGATGTGTGGATGTGCATATCATTTATCAAAGATTGCCACAAGCACATCTGCATTTTGCAATAATTTTCCTAGCCGTTTTATTTTCAAACATTACTGGTACATTGCCAGATATCCTGATAGCATGAGTCACATTATTCCAACACATAGTCAGCACAGAAATGCACACACACAATCCACATTGAAAATGTGTGTCTCCTTGGTGTTTCTCCCTTAGGCAGCATAGATTTCCTTTCATCATCTTACCACAACCTTAGCAAGCTTTCAACACAACAAGGTCATTTAAGAATAATTATGCAAGCATGTGTGAATGAGCCAAGAGTTCTGGCAATACACACATTGTATTAGACTAAGAAAATTCACATTCTGCTTATTCCCTTTACCTACTATATGCTTGAGCTCTGTGTCATTTTTGCCTGTTTGAGCAGAAAGTTAATGGGATTATGGGTTTCCTGGGAAATATTTACGGCAGAAATTCTACTCACCTTTTAACATCTCAAGAAATCAACATGGAAGTGTCTTTGGTCCAGCTCCTTTATGCAGAGAATATATCCCTCACTAAGTCTTCCTTCCCTGGAAGAGTTCTCCCTAATCCTTACTGGTAACACTCTGACAGTTTATTTCCAAGGCTTAGAAAATGCAATAAAATAAATAAATGGGGAAAAAAATTAAAAAAATAAAATAAAATAAGGATTAAATTTCAAAAAAAAAAAAGAAATTTAAGCAATGCTAAAAGAAATGATGGTCTTCTGAAAATATTCAGTTTAATAGATTTTTAAAAATAAAAAGGAAGGTTTTGGAAAAAAAAGAAAAAAGAAAAAATTCTCTGTAAATGGAATGGAGTTTTCACATTAACTTAGTTATCATTTCAGAGTTTATCTAAATAAATTTATTGTCATTAAAAAATATTAGTATCTAAGATCTTGACTTTTTGCCTTATTTTCTCTGTCAGTTAATATTCTATCTAGAAAACTCAACAACAAATCTATGCTTTGAATGAACCAGAAGCACTGATATAAAAATTAAACAGTGAAGTAAACAACCATTTTGTCATGTTAAAATTTATTCTAAGTGATCTGTTTGGTAATTTTAAATTTTAAGATATGTCATTTTCCGTCCTGTTTGACAAATGGTGCTGGGGAAATTGGCTAACTATATGCAGAAGAATGAAACTTGACCCCTACCTCTCACCATCTACAAACACTGATTCAAGATGGATTAAAGACTTGAATGTAAGACATCAAACTATAAAAATCCTAGAAGAAAGCCTAGGAAATACTCTTCTGAACATCAGCATAGGCAAAGAATTTATGAGTAAATCCTCAAAAGAAAACACAACAAAAACAAAAATCGACACGTGGGACCTAATTAAACCAAAGAGTTTCTGCCCAGCAAAAGACACTACCAACAGAGTAAACAGACACTCTACGAAATGGGAGAAAATATTAGCAAACCCTGCATCTGACAAAAGACTAATATCCAGAATCTATAAGGAACTTAAACAAATCAACAAGAAGAAAACAAACAACCCCATTAAAAAGTGGGCAAAGGACAGGAACAGAGATTTCTCAAAAGAAGACATACAGGCAGCCAACAAACATGAAAAAATGCTCAACATCACTAATCATTAGGTAAATGCAAATCAAAACCACCCTCTCACACCAGACAGTATGATTATTATTAAAAAGTCAAAAAATAACAGATGTTGGCAAGGTTGTGGAGAAAAAGGGACACTCATATGATCACATGCTGTTGGTGGGATTGTAAATTGGTTCAGCCCCTATGGAAAGCAGTGTCGAGATTTCTCAAAGAACTAAAAATAGAATTCCCATTTGACACAGCAATCCCATTACTGAATAGATACCCAAAAGAAAATAAATCATGCTACCTAAAACACACCTGCACTCACATGTTTATCACAGCACTATTCACAATAGCAAAGACATGGAATCAACCCAGGTGCCCATCAGAGGTGAGCTGGGTAAAGAAAACGTGGTACATATGCACTATGGAATACTATGCAGCCAAACAAAGAACAAAATCATGTCCTACACAGCAACATGGATGCAGCTGGAGGCCATTATCCTAAGTGAATTAATGCAGGAACAGAAAACCAAATACTACACGTTCTTACTTATAAGTGAGAGCTAAACATTCAGTATACATGGACACAATTATGGAAAAAATAGACACTGAGAACTCCAAAAGGACAAGGGAAAGGGTTGAAAACTACCTCTTGAGTACTGTACTCCTTATCTGGGTGATGGGTTCAACTGAAGCCCAAACCTCAGCATCACGCAAAAGATCCATATAGCAAGCCTACACCATGTACCCCCAAATCAGAAATTTTTAAAAAAATAAAACATGTCATTTTCTGGAGAAAAAAAAAAAAAAAAAAAAACATTGACCTCACTTACTTGTTCCCTTCACATCCTCTGGGAAGGAAACATATTGGGAAAACAGAGCTATGATTTCATGGTTTTAGTGTATTTTCAAATGTGGCTAAGTTTCTTCTGGCTTCTAAGGGAGTTGGATGATTTTCTAATCATCCAGATTAAAATAAGAGTGCTACTACTTTGGCATGGGCCTTGTAGTATCATCCCATTTTATGAAGATACTATTTGTTAAGAGGCAGAACACAGGCACATTGGCCCAGCAAATTCAATGATCAGCGGTATCCATATGTCCACTACATTGCTTGCTCTCTGAATATGTTATTTATTGAAGATTTCTGCAACCAAAGAGTATGGAGTGTATTATCCAGTCAGGGAGACATTCTTGGGCCATGTCCTGGTGGCTAGGAGAGAGTAGTTTGACTTAACAGTGTAAATCTGAGCTTTCAATACTAACCCCTACAAAATATGCTCACCATTTAGTTGACAGCCTTCACTCTGATGATTAAGAATGATGAGCTATATAGAAAACTGGTGTTTCTACT